ATTTCTGAGAAAAACTAATCTTTGAGAATTCCCAGGGTTAGAATCCCGGGAAAAAATACGTGATTTCTTGGATTCACTTTTGATAAACGAGTTTAATCCATATAACGCGCATGTCAGTCTGTGCAGCGAAAAACAACTTCTTTAATATGCGGAGTAGGCAAAATGAAGACACGGTTCAATCGCTAACGCAAGTCCAATTCCAATTCTTTCTCTTATTTAAAGTTATCCTCCTGTGGATCATACCTTTGAAATATTAACTTGAGATAGACTAATACAAGCGTCGAAGGGGAATACTTTGCGCATGATGCATGTGTTAAAGCAACTTAAGTATTATCTTGGAATGCCTTTTAATTTTCCTGCCAGACATTATTTCCATTCCTTGTTACCATTTTTCAGTACCGGATTAAGGCCTTCAGGGTCCTAAGCATAGACAATATTAAGGTGCCCCCCTCCGTTCATATGAAACTCAAAACAAAAACAATATTAAAAGATAAAAAGGTGGGAAAATACTAGTGTTGCCATCAATCCAAATCAAAATTCTCGTACATGCAGATTGAAATGACCATATATAATTCATTTACTTTATCATCAACAATTAATTTGATCATTTTTGTCTGGTGCCCAAAGCACGTGATTGGCACTGCCATTTTCGCCATAGCTTTCATAACTTTTCCTACTAAGGCATTTTTCCCAGCACCGGTATTTCGATAGTTTCTGTCATCGCTGGGATCCACTTCCAAGCAGAGTAGCTAATAAAATATAGGTTTCGGTATCAACACTTCCCATTTTCATCAGCAGACTTAGTCTGGTCCCTTGCTTAGTATGCTCCCTGCTTTGCACTCCGCTATACTAGGCAGGGAGCATACTAAGCAGGGAACCAGACTACAGCAGCCTCTCTAATGTCAACACATATTTTTTCGCATCTTGTCTGCCAAAATGTCAATGTGTAGATTTATTCATCCAACAGAATTTAGATTACAAACTGTACAACAATTAACATAAACACAAGGTACTGAACATTTAATATTAAGGTGGGGGACAATTTTCTTCGAGTTGAAATATTTTATTTTCGTTATCTCAAGATAAATATTTTCAAAAAAATAATAGTATTACCATAACATAATGTTATCTTCCTATAAACCAGAACAATATATTAGTCCAGCTACTGACAGGGGGTATTTTTGAAAGACAAAAAAAAATATAAGATAAAAATAAACCAAGAACATTGAAATGGTGTTTCTTTATTATTTTTTTTGATCGGTACATCATTGTGATAGAATGATATGATCCGCCACCTGTTATGAAGCTTTGTTTATCGTTACCACGGAGATGATGTAATACTGTTTTGTTGCGCGCAGCGAACACACAAAAAGTCAAATATTAAATTAATGGAGGGAATAACAGAGAGATCCGAACAAAGATATATAATAAAACAAAACAAGCCGCGTATGAACGATATAACAATTTAGTCAGTTATATAAACAAAATGAAACTGATCATGACATTTAAACGATTCATTTTCTTTAAAAATAAAATTAAAACATTTATGCAAAATTTCAGGTCACCATAATCTGGTTGCTTTCGGTCTTTTCTAAAGAACACTGCTCTCTCTCTCTCTCTCTCTCTCTCTCTCTCTCTCTCTCTCTCTCTCTCTCTCTCTCTCTCTCTCTCTCTCTCTCTCTCTCTCTCTCTCTCTCTCTCTCTCTCTCTCTCTCAATATAATACGCAATTGTCAGGTTTTTCTTCTCCTCGGTTTGAAGAATATTCCACTAATTTTGTGTCCGATATCGTCTTATGGTAATTCAATAAAACTAAGCTAACATAGTCAGTTCGCAACCTGATATACGCACCCTATTATTATAAAATTAATGTCTCTTCCCTTAGCTGCAAGCCGCGTTCCTAACTGGAACCATGACATGAATAGATCTCGTAGATAAACTACTAAATCCCATTGTGGACTGCCAAGGACTAGCTGAACAATGTCGGTCAACAGTCGCCGAATTTCTAAGGTTAAGGGAATTCACAACTTAATTGCACATATGAATTAATGGGCTTAATGTCATGCCTTAATTAAATTAGTTACTAACTAGTGATTCATTGACATGAACATAATAATAAAAAAACAATTCTTGGTATATATGATACATATCACAGATAAATTAATTCTCACAATTCGTATCAAAGTAAGGCAAGAAATTCTTACAATAAATGGTTTATGTTATATGCAAAACAACATCTGAACACATTCATATCAATGAAATATTGTATGACATCCTTATATTACAGGAATCATATAACATTCAAGACCAATGAATGCACAATTAAAGGAAGGAATACTGAATGATGAATTCAAGCGAATAGATTCAAGAATAAATTACAAACAATGTTGTGTGATGTGTTGGTTGATATTCGCTGCTTCATAAGTTGTTTGGTTATCGATATCTAGGACATGATCGACCACGATGTTATTGCCCGTTTATAGAATAGAATAACACAAAACCAACGTATGTAAAATACAGCAATTTAATCAATTACATGAAACAAAAAACTGATATGAGAATGATTCTCTTTCGTTCAAAACTAAAGTTTGAAAATTGCGGCGCGAAATTCATTTAGAGATTCCTTTGCTGATTAAACAAATTTCATCGTATGTTTGAGTGACGGATCGAACTCAGATCGCCGGCATTACAGTATCGCTTAGTGCTTCGGGTCTTATCAAATCATCGCTGGCAATCGGTCGGAGTTTTTGTATATTTCCTCTTCTCTAATATTAAAAAATTATTCGAGAAATAGATCTCTTAGTTGCGGACTTCGCCCTCTTTCCCAGTATGCATTCAGGTGTGGAGCTGTGTTATGATTTTCTTTTGTGATCAATAATATCCTCACTATGTCTCTCTTTGCATTAGATATCGTCTATTTAAAATCAACAGAAATAGACGTGGTGATTCGCACTTAATGCACTTACAACCTAGCATTGATACACAATTCTACGAGGGAAATTATTCTAAACTGTCTGATTTCCGTCTGGGAAGACGTACCTTCGTTTACCTTAAAAACGCAGGATTACAACTTTACCCGCCAAAATTCTTATTAATCCCATACAAGTAAAAACTTTCGTCATACAATCCCCTTTTTTAATACCTATTATGGAAAATATAATTTCACGACACCTGTTCCAAATGGACTACTAGTTTTTACAATATTCTCTGCTTCAAACAAACTCTCGAGAGTTTACTGCTCTAATCTCGTGTTAACATTGCACACTATCTGTCTTTCTCTAACCGTTAGCCAGTAGCCCCTAATGAAAACTCATTTCATACCCCAAACATAACAGATTAATTATTACAAGTTACAAGTTATAGCTATCCTTACCAATACATCATTCTTAATGGTCACGTAAAACGTGGACCACAACAAAATGTTCTATGCAATTTCTACAACATTTAATTCCATTACAATAATAGTCTATGCGATCGAGACAATACCTTTGTGCCTTTTCGAGATTAGTTCTTTCTATGCATCCGGATCGACCTCGCTGATTCCGGGTCTCTCAGATTCTTTTTGACCCCCATACTTTGGGCGATTCATTTAACGAGTAAAGATTAATTGTTAATTTCCTCGCGGTCCCTCAGACTTCCTTATCAGCAGAAAAACTTGGACTGTCTAATTATTTGCAAAAGAGATTTCTTAAAACCTAGAATTTCGTCGTGTAACACACACCTCCTCATTTCAATGCGTAAATGTATAAAAAGCCAGTTTAGTCTGTTTACAGAGTTTACTTATACACTTTCATTGTAGGATTGTTGTTTAATTATGAAAATTAAATCCTGGCCAGATGTTAATTATGCAAATATATCATTTCTGTACCAACTCGGTCCGACAACGTTGTCTGCTGTTCGGCATTACTGTCAGTACGGTTGATCCTATTCATCAGCAAAACGGCCAGGAGAAAAAGAAGAAAGTTATGTAAGGTTAGTTTATGACTATTTACCACTATGAACCTCTGTATAGCTACTCTCTCTCTCTCTCTCTCTCTCTCTCTCTCTCTCTCTCTCTCTCTCTCTCTCTCTCTCTCTCTATATATATATATATATATATATATATATATATATATATATATATATATATATATATATATATATATATATATATATATATATATATATATATATATATATATATATATATATATATATATATGCAAATGGCTACATTCATACGATCGATGGATGGATGGATGGATGGATGGACGTAGAATTCAGGGCTAACATTTTTCGTTCCGTCTGGCGTATGATTATAATACTCTATAATTAATCCTATATACCTTGATTTCTTTCATTGGAGTCTGGAAGGACTGAGTACATAAATGAAAATAATTACTAGGTCGTCATGTGATTATGTCTGCTACACACCAGTGCATATAACAATTATTCAGTCGCATCATATTTTGATGATGCGTGTTTAGTCGTGACGGAATATGGGTTGGTGTGTGCAGGCAAGGCAATGGGTGCCATTTACCCACTGACTTGGGTTCGAATCTCCGTAGAGTACGAATTAAAAATTATCTAACCTTTATATTAGTGTTATTTGTATTATATATTATTCATTCATTCATGTGTACATTTACATCAATGAAAGACTTACCTACGGCGTAAATACCACCACAGCAACAGGAACGAAGTCCATGTGCTTTCTTTTTTGAGGCAAGCCTGTGTCTTTGACCGTACCACAAGTTCACCTAATCAGAATATATTAATATTATGGAGCTTTGAAGAATATGAAATACCAAAGGAACTACTGAACATTATTGGCTTGGACATTTAGTTGCTAGCCGGCCAAAAAATAATGATGAGTATAAGGGTGATGTTAAGGAGTTTTTGTGCAGATTTAAGTGAGCCCAGATGTCACGGATCTAAGTGGACTTTTCTATTGGAACTATATTTATCAACTTAATATATCGACAAAAAAAGCGATTCGTTTCACATAGTAAGCATCTTCTTTTGACCGTGGCCTAGTGGAACGAGCGTCCGCCTCAGATGCGGGAGGTCATGGGTTCGAGCCCCGGTCGAGTCATACCAAAGACTTACAAAAATGATACTAACAGCTGCCTCGCTTGACGCTCAGCATTAAGAGGTTAGTGTTGGGACTGGTTGGCCTGGTGTCAGGATAATGTGACTGCATATATGCGGCATGATGCCCCAGTGTAAGACATCACTATAAACTGCCACACTGCAGACATGGTAGCGATATGACTGAAAAATTGTTAAAGCTACTCTAAAATTCATAAACACCACACCACCACCGCTTATTTTTACCTTTGCCCTATCCGCCATTTTGTGTCCGAAAATAATACCAGAAGTGGCAGGAGATTGATTCCGAGATTATTACTTTACTTGTTATATAAGGCATCGTTGACAACGCCACCTGTTGTTGGCTTAATATAACATATTGAAGTGATGCTTGTCATGAACTTTTTTCACGATAAAGAAAGCCTCTAATAGTCAGTCAAATTTATATTTCCATAAGCATCAGCGGGAGTAGGAGTACTTGCAGATGAAAAGAAAATTCAGCCGCAAGTGTCGTAAATAAAATCTTAGCAATAATTTTGGCAAAGATTTCATCACCGTGAAATTAAATGTTACGTTTAACATATCATATTATTATAATATGATACATTTGGATAGAATACATGTTGTAACATCGTACCTAACCTTCTCCCTGTATCAAAAGTGAAGCAAATATTAAAACAAAAAAAAAACAAAGAAGAGGGTCACAATGACAGCATTATTATCGTTTATTTAAATAAATTATTGAAAACAACTCCTTTCCCCAAATCAGGAGTTGGAAATGGCACTCATAGTATGTTTCACAAAAAAAATTGAAAAAACAACAAGGTTCGTTGCTGAATAAACTTGAGTCTCATGAAAAATGTAGGTACTTTTTATGTTCCGCAAAAAAGGGCATGTCAACATGCTAAAGATCAAACTGTAATGAGCTTACGTTGTGCTGCAGTCTAGTATGGATAATGTCATGGGCTTGGTGGCTAAAAATAGACATTTTACTGGATTTAATATTTGGAGATAAACACTTTTTCATAACAATGTAATATATGCTTTATTGGGTGTTATGTTCAAGATAACCCCAGAAGGTAAATGTTATAGACATTAAAATAATTTATGAGAAGTTAGCCTAAACATTTCAACAGTTTTTTGGCTCCGAGTGGCCAAGAGGACTAAAGTGCTCACCGTTATGGATCAATGCCATCTCACCTCTATTTGCGTGGGTTCGAGCCCGCCAATGTGGGTATGTGAGAATGCTTGCCAGTAGCTCCGTGTGTCGGTGGTACTTTACGGGGTTTTAGGGAGGTTCTTCTTCCATCATTTTTACTGGCCGCCATGTTATGGCCTATCTTGTACAGAAACCCTATAACAACATCAACAGACTAAATTCTTAGAACATTTAAGAATATAATGCAAGAGGGAGTAATTTAATTAGATAGTTTGGAGTTACATATTAACTTTAGTGTTTATTTGCTTTGCTCTTCTTTTAATTTTATGATTTGGGGGTTTTGTTTTGGGGGAATGTTTTGTTATTTGTTGGGGATTTTGTTGGGAGGGGATGGTGTTCTGTTTGGGATTACTTTGCTTTGTTTTTGTATTGGGGTGTGGTTGTTTGTCTTTCCAGAATTTTCCACCCATTTCTAAAATAAAGAGATCGCCTACTCGTGTGTTTGTTAAGTTCTGTATCTATTCTTGCCGATTCTAGCTGTAGTTGTACACAAAAAGAATTCTGAATATATTAACCAACACCTACACCAAACTACACAGGCAAGTCCAGTATGAGCTTGATATAAGTTATATACAAAATAAATAAAATTTGCTTGTTATGTTCCTGTTTTAGTTGTGCAAGATTGGCAATTCCAGATAATTATATTCTTCATTATGCTATCAGAATCTGGGTTTCTCCACTACAATATGTAACGCATGCGCAATCAATATATGATAACTTTTAAGCGATCGTCATTAACATAGTGTATGTTCGTGAAGACGTTTCAAACAAATTTGTAAAGTCTGGCGTCTGTAAACTCTTCACGGAAATAGTGTGTTTAAAAATCATAACTGAATAGTACAATAACCTGCCTAAAAAAAAAAATAGATATGAGCACAAACAACATCAGAGAGGATCAGGCACGGACAAGATTGTTAGGCCCTAGCAAAAATTATCCAGTAGGCTCCAGTGAATCACAAATTGAAACATCGGTGGACCTCCTAACCGTTGTGGTCCCCCGGAATTTATCCTACCCTGTCCATGGTCCAGGATAGGACTTACAAAGGTAGATGTGCTATTTCTGAAAAGAAAGTGGGTGGGTGGACGATTTTCTTATGTGACCAGAACTACAATTGGTACAAATCTACGTGTATTTAGATGGCTCTTCAAGAATAAATACTCCAGAACTTACAAATCTCTTTGTTGCATATAATTAATTTCATAGTGGATGGATGCACACAGGGGAAAATAGCATCATAAATGCCAATGTGATCAGATCCAAATCCCAATCCGAGGAGCCACACGAGTTACACATAGCTGGTATCACAGTACCAATTGTTTTTTCCATAGACTTCTATGCTAATGTTTTGCGAAATAAATATACTTTCTATCCTACCTCAGCATGCATGTCACACACTGTCACAGAGAACAATGTTAGATTGTCAATTTGATAACAACGAAAACAGGTACTCCATTGCATTTAAGAGAGATAACTCTGCTGGAACTAGACAGGGTAAGAGTTATCTAGTTACACCGGACACCTTTTCAGTCATGTGTACCATATTTTAAAAAAATATCTTAAAAATACACAATGTTATCTAGGTATGAATTAACATAATCTCACAGGTTGCCAAGAGGCTCAACTTTTGTTAAAGCCTAACAGAAAGACAACTATTACATAATGCACCAATCACAGCTAATTTTGCTGTTTATTTCTGAATGCAATGTTTATTACCCCTTAAGATCCGCCCACCTGGGGTTGTACAATTGGTACCGTTATACCAGGTGATAGTACTGTAGCAACTGGCCATTGCAAATGTATCACAAGATGAGCTATCTCATCATTAGAAATCCATATTTGTTCAAGAATATAGCAAATAGTCATAGAAAGATTTCTTGTTTGGATGGTTGTTCTACCATACCTACGGGCGAATTTTGCACATGTAAATACCATACCACAAGCGAAGCGGTGCCATTTTCAAAGAGAATTGGACTATCTGCCAAATTGTTCAGTCTATGCATAAACTGATACCATAATTTGTATTGTAATTCTATGACTTTTATCTAATTTGTATTAAATAAATTGCATTCTTACATTAGAGCAAATTTGCAAAGAAAGGAATTAACGAGTGTGTTAATGACTAGAGTTAACATTTCATTACGTATGCCTGCAGATAAAGGGTGTGAGATTTGCCGTTCTTGACCCAACCTCACCTCAAATTTAACTAAAATTAAATAAACCGAATTTGTAATTGAAATCGAAAGCAATTATACATGTTCACATGCACATTAAAATATATTTATTTGCTGATTATTGTAAACATGAATGAGTGACATGATAAAGTTTTCATGTAGAGCCATGGCAAGAAAGGCCATAGTTTTGGACATTTTGCCACCTGGATAGATCTGCTACTACTACTACTACTACTACTACTACTACTACTACTACTACTACTACTACTACTACTACTACTACTACTTCTACTACTACTACTACTACAACTACTGCTACTACTACTACTACTACAACCACTACTAATGCTACTACTACTACTACAACTACTACTACTACTACTACTACTACTACTACTACAACCACTACTAATGCTACTACTACTACTACTACTACTACTACTACTACTACTACTAATAATAATAATAATAATAATAATAATAATAATAATAATAATAATAATAATAATAATAATAATAATAATAATAATAATAATAATAATAATAATAATAATAATAATAATAATAATAATAAAATTTATTGTCAATGAAGTCGAAGAGGCCATATCAGTGACCGTCAAGTATGTCTCAATCCATGGAGTAGGAACAAAATACAGAGTCGACCATATGAGCTCTAATTCATCAAAATTTTAACTGATTTTATATTTGTATGCATTAAAATTGCAAAAGTTCCCGGGACCTACAAGCAACGAAACTTTCCATCCAACATATTTTAATCGAGTAAATACTCCGGTTTGAAATGTTATTGAAGTGAATTATTCGAACAAGTAAATGTATGCTTTATACACTTGCCTCAATTGACAACCGAGTGCAAAAGTATCTTTTCAATTCTGAATGAATAAGCTAGTCCCAAAGTTATCATTTATGCCTGCTCATTTATATTAAAGGATGCACAAAAATAGCGACTAGTTTCATTATACTAGCTGACTTTACTTCAACATATGCAACCATTGATGAGATGATATTGGACTTTGTTCCAACATTAAAATTATGTTTCAGTTTTCAGGAGCCTGAGAAGGAGAAGACAGAGAAACATATGGACATTGCTGTCAAGGATACAGATTCTAAAACAGAATTTTTTATAAAATCCTGAAAATAAACATATAAAAATGAAATACAGTTAGATTAAAACATATGTTGAATCTTGTCGTACCCACTTGCCACTTCTTTAATCCAAATGCATGTAAAGCTTTCATGGTTATGTATCCTTTACAAACTTATTGCAAGTTCTTTCTTATGTTTGTTGAATAATAGATAATGCGTTTTTAATACAATAAACAAATTGTAGTTTTAAATAATTTTACACCGGTTACAAAATAATAATTGATTAAGCGAAAAAAAATCAGAAAGATTCCCTTCTTCATAAATAGATGATCTGTACATTTTATAAAGTTTTGTGAATTTGATGTTTTGAATCACTGCTTTCAACAATATCATCTAAAAACGATATCGGCCATCCCGTCCCGTTCTATGGATATGCACCCCTACTGTTTCATTAAGTTTGACTGCACAAAAACAACTGCAAGAGATCAATGTAATTTAGTTAGTACTGATATTAGT